AGAAAATAGAAATGGAATGTATTGTAAAAGCAAATTTTATTTCGTATATTACAATTCATATAATAATAAATGCCAACAATTATAAATAAGGTAAAATTATAATATAAAAGCCATTTAGATATAATTTCTTTCTCTTATTCTCGCTCTTTCACACTTCGTCTTTCAATATATATATATATATATATATATATATATATATTATATATATATATATATATATATTATATATATAATTTTTCCTCTTTTCTCTCATTCTCTCTCCTTTTCTCCCTTTCTGTCTACCAGTTCTCTTCTCTCTATGTCTCTCTTCCCCCCTCTCTATCATTCCTCTTTTTCTCACTCACTCACTCTCTTTCTCTCGGTCTCCCTCTCTCTCTCTCTCTCTCACCCCTTCCTCACGCTATCTCTCTCTCTCTCTCTCTCTCTCTCTCTCTCACCCTTTCATCCCACTATCTCAACCCTTCCCTTTCCCTCCCTCACCATCCCCCCATCTTGACCCATCTCTCCCTCCCCCCCCCCACCCTCCCCCTCGCCCCCACCCTCCCCTCGCCCCCACCCTCACCCTTCTCCATCTCAAATATCAATCTCGACGGAAGGATAAAGCTTGGAGTTCTTCTTGGGAGCGAGGTCGTCGCTGCCGCACTCGTCCTTGGCCACGCCCGCATCTTCGCCCAGCGCAAGGGGGGGGAGGTCGCACTCGGCGGGTTGGGAGAGGAGGCGGCTCATCTGCGAGGAGGGGGGTGGGGGGATGGGTTGTATTTGTTATTAGGGTGATTGCTATCTTTGGAATTTTTATGGTTCATTGCGACTGGTTATGTTTGTATTCTTAACTGTGATTTAAGTATTTTTGTTTACATGTTTAATATATTCATAATTCTTATAGCATAGATCTATATCTATCTATCTATCTATACATATATATATATATGTATATATATACATATGTATATTATGTATATATATTATATATATATATATATATATATATATATATATATATATATATATATAATATATATATATAATAAGTGCTCTTTTTTTGTCTATCGATGAAAGTGCCACAGCAAGTGAGGAAAATAAAGCAGAGAGAGAGAGAGCGAGAGAGCGGAGAGAGAGAGGGAGCGAGAGAGAGAGCGAGGAGAGAGAGAGCGAGAGAGCGAGAGGCGAGAGCGAGAGAGCGAGAGGGAGAGAGAGAGAGAGAGAGAGAGAGAGAGAGAGGAGAGAGAGAGAGAGAGAGAGGAGAGAGAGAGAGAGAGAGAGAGAGAGAGAGAGAGAGAGAGAGAGAGAGGGGGGGGGAGGAAGGATATGTGTGTGTGTGTGTGTGTGAGGGAGAGAGAGAGAAAGAGAGAGATGAGGAAGAGGAAGAAGATAAAGATCCTGAAGAGATAGAGACGGAGTAACAGAGACACCGACAGCCACCCAGCCAGCCAATCAAAGAAAGCCAGAAAGACCCAAAACCCTTCCTCTTCTCACCTTCCCTCTGACCCGCCCCTGTGTTCTCTATGCAATGTCCCTCTTTCAGTTCCGCACATTTTCTTGTCCTGTCCACGCTTTAATACAGCACGTACCTCTGCTTTTCCACACCTATCCTCCCTTCACCGACCTCCCAACATATCAGACATCCTTACAGAATCCCACAGCTTCTGCCTTGACAACCTGTTCTCCTTCCTCTGACGCATAAATATCCTTCACTTGATCTAACTCCCTTACCTAAACCACCATAACCCTTTCCCTCATCAACCCTTACCCATCTTCAACCTTTCAACATTAGATAGTTGACGCATAGCAACTGTCACCTGACATCCCCCTTTACTATACCTTCCTATAGTGCTCTATGACCTTAGATGTCTAGCCCATTTATTTCGCTTTTAACCATTAACCATTCTCACCTTCCAATGGCGGTCGAGGAGCTTATCCAGCTCGAAGTCGTGGTCATCGTCTCCGAAAGGGTTGAGCAGCGCCTCGGCCACCTTCAACCAGCCCATGTAGAAGACCAGTTGCAAGAGTCCGGACACGGGGAAGTACAAGTCGATGCTGTAGCCGTTGTAGCCCTGGTTCGGGTCGATGTACTGCTCGCCGATCAGGGAGAAGAAGAAGAACGAGTACACGGCGATCGTCACGACCTGTGGAAGGGAGAGAGAGAGGAAGGGGCGTTAGGTGGGGAGGGCGGTGAGGGTGGGGGGGGGGAACTTTAATGCCTGAGTTTCGTCCTTGTTTATTTTTTCTCTCTCTCTTTTTTAATGTTTCTTTTGTTTATTCATTAATGGTAGGGTTTCACTGGTTTCTATTTTTGTTTTTACCTTTTCTGCTCTCTGTCTGTCTGTCTCTCTCTCTTAATGATAATAATAATATAATAATAATATTATCATTATATATATATATATATATAATATATTATATATACATATATATATATATATGTATATATATATATATGTATATATATATGTGTATATATATATATCTATATATATATATTATATGTATATATATATGTATATATATATATATATATATATATATATATATATATATATATACATACTATTCCTCTTCCTTTCTCTTTTATCTGTATCTCTATCAACTATTTACCCTTTTTTCTCTATCTGTCATACATCTTTCATTCCTCTAATCTCAAAGTCTCTCTCACGTCCCTCCGTTCCCCATCCTTCTTCAAACACCTTACCCCCTCCCTTCCCTCTTCCTCCATCCCTTCACCTCCTCCAACCTTCCCCTCTCTCCCTCCTCCTTTCTCTTTCAACACCTCCTCCAATCTTCCCCTCCCTCTTCCCCTTGCTCCAATTTCCCCCTCCCTCCTCCCCCTCTCCCCTCCTCCCCCCATCCTCACCTGCGTATACACCAGAGGAATATTATTGTCATGCCACCCCATCACAGAGCCGCAGCGACCTCGCACTTTCAGGATCTCGTCGGTGACTGTCTTCTGGGCCGAGTTACTCCGAATATTTCCCTCCAGACGCGCCCGGTCCACCGCCTTGCACGCCCACATGATAGGGACGTATGTGATGTGTGTCCCGCAGTTGCCGTCCAGCCGTTCTATAGCTTCCTTCTCGCGTTCCGTCATGTATTCTGGGGAAGAAAACAAAAACGAAACAAAGGTGATTAGATGAGGTTAAAGTTGGGATCAAAGGGGAGCGAGATAGTGAAATGTAGGTTCTGAATCTCTTATTTTGTATTCTGGGGAAAAAAAACAAAAAAACAAAAGCGAAACAGGTGAATAGATGATGAGAATAATGTTGGGATTAAAGGGGAGTGACATATTTAAAGTGAAAGATTGAAGTGGTTTCTGAATTTGTATTTTGTATTCTGGGGAAAAAAACAAAAAAACAAAAGCGAAAAAAGGTGGACCGAGATAAAATTGGGATTAAGGGGAACGAGATAGTGAAATTGCAAGATTTAAGCGTGGTATCTGAATCTCTATTTCGTATTTTGGGAAAAAAAACGAAACAAAGGTGAATAGATGATAAGGATAAATTTGGGATTAAAGGGGAGTGAGATAGTGAAAGTGGAAATTTTAAGTGTGGTTTCTGAATCTGTTATATATTCTGCAGAAAATAAAGGTGAATGGAGATACGGGTAATTTTGGGATAAATGCGAGTGAGATAGTGATAGTGAGAGATTCCGGTGTGGTTTCTGAATCGGTGTAGGGAAGTGGTGAGAGTGATAATGGTGTCTGAAAAGGGCTGGTAAAAGACTGAATTTTAATTATAACAGTACCGCGAAAAATAGTTATAAAAGTGGTAAGGATATTGGTTTAAAGTCATATTTTTTTTATGGCAATGATAGTGGAATAAAGATTGTGAAAGATTTGATGATTATTCTAGCAACAGCAGCTGGAAAAGTAATAGTGCCAATGGTAGTGAAATAAGGATAATGAATTACAATTACAATAAAGAAAAACATCGTGGGAAAATTATAGTGATGATGTTAGTGGAATGAGGATAGTGAAAGATTTAATCACGATTTATAACAATATCGCGAGAAACAGTAACAAAATATAGTAAAAGATTAAATTATGATTACACTGAAAAGCCCCCCCCCCACTCCCAAGGAAAAACAACGATAACAAGGTCAAGAATATACTATATGCAGATTTTTTTTTTTATCTAACACATCACAACTGGAAAAAATGGTCTATAAAGGTGTAGTTTATTACAGCCTTTCTCATTAGTATTAACTGTCATTATCTTTCATCTCTTAAAAGTTTAAAAATGTTTGTTCTCGCGTACTGTTTACAAACTATGGAACACACCTATTATACACTAAGGTGATGCTAACAGGATTTATTTTTGGCCTAATAATAATCATAATTAATATTGTGTTGGTAACAAAGACAAAAATATTTATGGTGATGATAACAATGTAAATATGGAAATGGTAGTGACAATAATAATGACGAGAATTATTCATGATCCTGATGCCGATGATAACAGTTATGAGGAAAATAATGACTCTAACAACAACAGTAACAAGGCAAAAAAATATATGTATATATATACATGTATATATGTATGTATGTATGTATTATTATTATCGTTTTTTTGGTGTGGGGAGGGCATTTGGACACGTAATGCATTAGGTCCATAAATATCCTTTTTACATGCATTCTTATTGCAAATATTAAGGAGGAACTAATAATTCAATTCTTTAATTCTTTGGGGTCAACAGCATTCAACAATGGGAGCAAATTATAATTTTAGGAGGAGCAAAGATTCGGGATTTTTATGTACCATTTCTTTACCTGGTAAATATAAAACAATAATCAAAGCACCACCATCAACACAGAAAATCAAACAAATAAAAAGAAAACACTGGCATTGCTTGTCCCTTCTTAAAACATAAAAAATACTCTCTTTCCTTACCTTTATCCACAAAATCTTGGTAACATCCGAATTGTTTCTTAATTACAGGGGAAACTTTGCTAAACGTGATGGCGATGGTAAGGTTAACATATCGCATGATTTCACTTCGCTGTGCCTTCG